GCGCGACTTTTGACCTTCAAACGATCATAACTTCCTTCAAAGTCATTCATTTGGGAAGCTGAACACGGTATAATAAACTACAGGTTTCAAGCTTTCTAACGAGCACCCAAGCGTTTCTGAAAGATCAGCAGTTCAAAAATTAGTCCCGTTGTTACTTTTTATTTTGAGGGGTATTCTTCAAGCCATTTTCTCGAAAACGCGAGTTTTCTTAGGTTCACTGCCCGTAACTTCTTGGAAGACCAATTTTATGTTTAATTTAGGATGTGCTAGAAAGCTCCGAGCATGCGCTTGCACTACATCCCTTGCCTTGGTGCGCGCCACGCCTCGGGCGCCCTTCTAATTCGCTGATTCATTTGAAAGCTCATTTAGAGGGAATCGTGGTTTATAGATGCTGTATCAGTCATCTTACGAAAACGTAACGTGCTGGCTATTATCCGATATTACCAAGAATCCCACTGTCGGCCACCGAGAGGGTACGACCCCCCTCCCTCCAAGCTCAACTGAGTACGACCCCCCGTTGTTACTCGTAACAACGTAGGGTTGACCCTGGTTGAGCAAGCATTGTCTGCGCCCTTCCAGTTTAGTGCCGTCGCGCTTCCCGCTCTCTTCAGTGCGCTGTGCTTTTTCGTCTTTTCACTGTTGAAATCAAAAGGAATGAAAACCATTTGTTTATAATCTTTTGTTTTTTCTCACTGACGGTCTTTCGCACCATTTGCTTTATCGTTGAGCAGATTAACATCCAATTCAATGGCGATCAGTTTCTTTGTAGTTGTCCGTTCACGTCTCTGTGCAAAAATGCATTGGTGAATGCTTCAAGAGAAGGATAAAGGCTCATAAAATGGAGTGAGAGATTATCGATTCTCTTGTATTTATGATATTCCAAGTCCACTATAAAATTCGAAATAGAAATCTTTATGCATATTCTGTAACAAAGAATCGTTGACTACTAAAGACACAAGAATATGAATCAACACTTCGACAAGCGCTCCGTGGCATCGACTGAAGGCACTGTGGGACTCCTGAAAGTGAGCACATCACATTGAACAACAAGTAGCGTCATACTAATTCTCAGATGAATACAGTCTTTAGTGCGAGAAAAGATGGCTCGTTCTCCTTATATTTTTATAGCCATTTAGGGTGAAAGCTGAGTGCTTTCTAAAGAGCCTTTCATATGTAGTAGTGCAACTTCCACGTGACCAACACGGGCAACATTGAGTTCAAAATCAGTTCCTCGTCTTCTCATTCTGGCAGTAAGACTTATGTCCCAAGGATGGCGAATAACGACAAAACATTCACCCTAATCGGATCTGCACGTTTCGCTTTACGAGCCATCTAGTGAATATGCCTTACAGGGAACATATGCAACAGACGGCGCATACAATCGGATATTTGGTTGATGGCTTAGCATATCCAGGTACCTAACATGCATGATCACCGAGTGCAGTTTTCTATAGACAAGAAAGGCTGGTTTTGGTGGGGCTCGCTAACCTACTTGAGAAAACTCTCGCTGAGTACCTACATGCCCATATAACGAAACAAATAGCAGTACAACCAGGGTCAAGCGTGCGTTGAGGAATCCTCGACATGTCACAGGGGGGGGGTCGTATTGGCCCGCTGGGAGGAAGAGATCGGGCCGGATTGACGCGGTAGGATCATCACCATCGGAGGACAAACATCAAGGGTCGATGCCAGGCCAGAGGATTTTTCAATAACAATGTCATTCTGCCCACATTCGTGATTCAGAGATGTCCGCTTAGCAATTCTTAGTTTACTTGTCCTCTGACGGTGATGATCCTGGTTTTGTCACCATACAAGTTAAACAATTCGAAATAATTCGCACTTTTTCCAAGGATATTTTATCTTTCAAGTGAGTCCTCGAATCTAAAGGGATGTGAAGCACATGGCGCATCCCAGAGTGGGCTTAATTGGTTGCGCGCACTTCAACTACGGCTCTCTGAAGAAAGAACCTCAATTCAGGAAAAACTAAGAGGATTCTGAAAGGATCCGTGTGAAATTACAGTTAGGAGTACACCATTCAAAAAGAAACACAGTCTTCAGCGTCAAATTCTTAAGCACGTAACCCTTAAAGTTGAGATACACTAAACTATTTTACACTTCTTTGGAAGAGAGAAGCAGGAGCATTTCGAATCTGCCCCTACTTTAGTATGTAATCGCCTCTGAAAGGAGCTATAGTCGTTGAAATAGTGCCAATGCAGCAAAAAAGTACCTTTCGGCGGTACTCGGGCAGAAATCCTCAACGTGGCCATTTTTTTAATACTGAACGTATTTAGCAGCTCTAACAACCTTTAAATAGAGCAAATCTTCTAGTTTATGATGATATATTAGCTTTCCAGAATGGATGAGTTTGAACGGAGTTATGGCTTTGGAAAGCGTAAAAACTCGCACTCATCACAAATTTTCCTCGTTAATTTTGCAAAAATCCTCAACGTGGCCATTTTTTGAGTACTGGACGTATGAAGCTGCTTTAGCGACCGTTTGATAGAGAAAATCTTCTAGTTTTGTATGACGTATCAACTTTTGAATTTGACGGAAATGAAGCAAGTTATTGCTCCGGAAAGTGTAAAAACTCGTGCTCGTCTCGAATTTTCCTCGTTATTTGATCTAAATTTGTTATTTCTTATAACTTTTTGTAATTTCAGTACTGATTAGAAAAAGCTCTTCACAAAACTCCCAAATCTGCTTTCAGATTGAAAATTCGTCACTTTGAAGAAAGTTATAATCATTTGAATATTTGTTCAAATTTCAATAGTAATAAGCTGCTCCACGGTCAACGCCAAAGTCAGTCAGCACACAGCTGGCTAAGGCGGTTACAAGGCTTTTATTCAATTGAAAGGGGGACGTTTAAATTGAGAAACCATCTGCTGTGTAGTAATAATTCTGCGATGTTATGAAGGAAATAAATAGAGAAGAGATGTTGTCATAGTATGCCATTTTTAGTGCTAGTTTGTCGTTTTTCTCCTTTTCTCGTTTGCTCGTTTGGTAGGACTCATCATTAATGATCATTCTTTGACTTTTTCACTTTTTTAGTTCCTATAAGAATTTTTTGGTGGACGGTGGGGTTGCAGGGCTCTTTTGAACATTTTGGGTGAGAATTAAACAACCTTTTCATAGCTCTGTTTTTGAAAAGGGTCGTTTCATGGACTTCGGCCTCTGGGGGAGGGAGGGGGGGGGTCGTATTTCCAAATTTTCCTCGACGGTTCGCTTGACCCTGAGTACAACAGCAGTGTAAAAGAAGACACGTGTAGAGGTGTGAACTGTCTGCGATCTAAGACGCACATATCTCCAAACAGTACGCCACTCAAAGCAAGGGTCGAGATCAGTCTCACTGATGAAGCTCATTCCGCGTGAATAGAGGTGCTAGGTCAACCATTGCAATGTTCGCGCCACTTTCGTGCCTAAAAACGCGTCACTGGAACCGTAACCACTCAGACTTGGATCCCCCTACGTGTACAGGGCTTTTGTTCTCTCTCTCCTCCCCTTCATTTGATATCTTATCTGTGTCGTGATGTTGACCTGTTGTGCTCTCATCACTCGGACATCGTTTCCCTTTTATTTATTTGTTTATTTATCAGTGGACGCAGCATAGCTGGGTGGTGAACAATACGATAACAGAAAAAAGAAAAACATAACTTCGTTAAGCAACGTAAAGCATATGATGACAAGAATTTGATATGTGTAAATAAAAGAATTATAGTAAAGGCAATCAATCGTAAACCACTCAGATTTCAATTGACTGACTAAATTGATTGACTAAATTTATGACTCAACTACGGAACATCGCGAGAGATAAGCGCAGGATATCCTCATCAAAATCTTGTTCAACAAAGGTAGCACTCTGACAGCAAAAGATTTAGCTCTGACCTGTGTTCTAATTACCGGAGACCTTATTTTGATTGTGCTCCCTCTAGTCCTCGATATTTACCAGCATAAAAAAGTCAACAGGGTCAACCGCAGCCCTCTTTGCCAGAATTTTGAATGCCATAACGAGATCGCTAACTTGTATTTTATACAAAGGAAGACAAGCCATAACGCCGGGGTCTCTTTCGCACCGACTATGCAACAACTCATAAGACAGCAGCGCAGAGCAGCGAAGGGCAAGCTTACGTGAAATTATTCTGCACTGTTTTTAAAAGTTCGACGTCTCTTTTCTTCGATGGAAGGAAAACGGAGGAACCGCATCCTACAAATGGTCTCACGTAGGCTTTGTATGCTTTCAGTAAATCATGGGTTCCTCCATTGTAACGGTTTGTTCAAAAGATTTTTAAATTCTATGCTGCTCTAGACACCAACCCTTGTAGTGCGTGCCAAAAGCGAGTTTATTCAAGAGGACGAACCCGAGATCCTTAATTTCATTAGCAGACTCTTATGCTACAGGACCTATTTTGCAGTGATGGACAGTGCATAATTTCCGATGGTGAACACTTTTGTTTTATCGGGAGAAAGGGCTCTCATGCTTGGCACCAAATGACGTATGTATCGTATGGCTACTTGCGCCATACATAGCAGATCTGTTTCGATAAACTTCGTATAGCATACATTATACGAAGTTATACGATACACTGCTTTGCATAAATATAAATCCACCTGGATTTTTCGTGAAAAATCGCCTATCAGGATGTTTCCGAAAAAAGTTCAGAGAGAGAAATGTGCTCATCATAGATAGGATTTTGGGTATCAAAACCCACTTGCATTTCGAAAACGCAAAAATTTTTATCTTTATTTTCTCGAAAAGGGTTACTTCGCCGATTTTGCAAAAATATAAATCCACTTCACAAAACGTGCTAAATAACAACGGAACAACAACAAAAACAAGACTTCTTCTAGTTAGTAATCTATTGGACCCCCATTTCTCCGAATAACTTGGAAAATGCGATTGTCCATGCTTCTGTAGAGGTTTCCGATAAATTCCTCATTGACTTGGTGCCATGCTTCTATTATTGCACTTTTGAGCTCCCTTACGTTTTGAAATTGGGCATTATTGGCATAAATTCGTCGAACCATAAAGCCCCAAACGTTTTCCATGGGATTCAGGTCGGGGCTGTTAGCCGGCCAAGGGAGAAGTGGGACATGGTGACGACTGAACCACGTCCGAGTGCTTTGGCTGACGTGTATCGGTGCGTTGTCTTGCATAAAGAGAAAATCGGAATTCCGATTTAGGGCATAGGAGTTTAGTGACATAGTGGATTTATATAGCAAAGCAGTGTAGAACACGATACTGATTATCTACCCAAATGCGTGAGAGAACTGGAACAGACTCCACCTTGACTCCCAATTCTTTCTCACTTATCTTCTTATCTCTCATATTCTATTAATCTCAAGGCCTGCCGTATACAAGAGTCAACATTCAATCCCACTCGAGCATAAAAGAATGAATGCTGAGTTTCAGGAGGAAAGAAAAGAAAATGCAAAAAAAAACAGAAGATAAGGATCGTTCTGCTCCTCGTCGCGAAAAAGTCCGGAAATCCGTCTAGTTTTCAGACTTCTCCGCGCTGCTGTCCGCTTTTAAACTTGCCGACATAGAGCACAGTGGTCCGCATTTTCCGTTTTTTATTTGCTTTCTTTTCCTTGCTTCTCCTCTGGGAATTTGGATTCATATTTTCATATTCGATGGATTTGAAACCTGGATTTGTCTTGATCTCGCCTATGAAGGTGTGCCCAACATTGTTATGAAATAGAAATTTATGTCCTCTATTTTAAATTTTGAGAGTCATTGCAACACACATCAGTAGTACTGAGTTTCGGGACACCCTGTAGTAGGCATACTGTGAAAAGAAAAGCAACCTCGTGTTTAGGCCTGCCCATCGCACTGAAAGCTATTATAGAGGGGTACTGTGAAAAGAGAAACAACCTTGTGTTTAAGTGCCCATCCACGAAAGCACAATTCGATCCAATCCGGTGCCAATGCTTCGGCCTCTCACTTCCCCTGTCTTAGTTGGCTTCTGGAATAAAATATTAATCAAAAAACGAAACAAGAACATCATGGATCACTGGTGGGGAACAACATAGACAAGCAGGGATAAACTACTTCATGACGAAAAAACAGGTTTTTCTTCAATCACCGGTTTGACACAGCAGTAGAAAAACGACGGAATTTCTATGACTAGAGCATGATTGGGAGATCAAGTCAGGAAGGGTGATTTAAGCGAAGAACCATGCTCGAAAACACTTGGTTGCGAGGCACTATGTAATGAGAAACAAAACTTGGCGAGGGAAGAATTCAACTTCGAAGTGAAGTGTCCTACATGTGTAATCAAAAAGGGGATCATGCCAAAAGAAAACCGTTGAGGTTTCAAGGGTATTATAGTTTCCAAAAAAATCAATTGCTGAGTATCGTAAAAAAAATGGTAGGCCCTTATTCACGCACTTTTTCAGCACATCGACATCGTTGACAGGCTTCTGCACCCAATAACTAAACGCACAGTGGTAAATTTATACGATGATGTGCTATCACTATACGCTTAATCCACGCCGAAGAAGGCAGAATGCCGACCAAAGAATTTCGTCGGTCACACCAGTCCCTTACAAGGGAGGTCTTTCAGGACATGGAGCGCTTTTCCAAAATGATTTCCTGCACTTTGTAGAGACTCATGCGAGGAACACAAAACCATGGTCCGTTTTTCCTGAACGCTTCTAGGAAGGTCAGAATAGTGGAGAAGAGATGGTCCAAAGTTCGATCCTCCGTGATGTCTAATTTTTGCAATTTATGTTGGCGCCTCCAAATTGTGTCCAAATGGCACCAGCGTCGATTAACATGTCATCCTCGTAATTTTGGCGACAATTTGGAGGCTCCAACATGGATTGCAAAAATTTGTCACCACGGCGGATTGAACTTTGGACCATTTCTTCACCACTGTTTTGAGGTTTCCCAGAAGTGTTCAGGAAAAATGGACCATAGTTTTATGTTCCTCGCATGAGCCTTTACAACATGCAAGGAACCATTTCGGAAAAGCGCTCTCATGACCTGAAAGACCCTCCTTGTCAGCGTCACTCTGCCCACACCATCGCGCGGAACAAGCGTTTTTCTATAATGCAGTACGTTTCAAAAGTATAAAGGCACCCATGAAACCTGGTTTTCCGGACCAGGATGGAGGATACATGGCTTGACCACCTTTGTTGAATCTAGGATGCTACGTAACTGTAGTTCGTGTTCCAGAACGAAATATAACGACAAACAATTCTATAAGGGAGTGTTTCACTAGAATGCTGAGTTGTGAACAAAACTTTCGCCCCAGGCGGGACTAGAACCCGCACCTCTCGCTTAACAAGCAAAAACAAGTCGAAATCTATAAGGGAGTTTCAAAAGCTCAGCGATAACAATTCCTATAAAGGAGTTTTTCAAAGCCCACTGTCACAAAAGATATAAGACTGACAAGTGACTTAACGAGTAAAATATGTGTCCTATCAACTATTTTGCGTTCTGTGGGCATGCCTCAGTGAAACGCACTACATGTTTAGTGAGATGTGGAGCTTCAAACGCGTCTATCAGAACAATTATGCCAATGCTTCATAATTCCTCAGAATGGCCAACCTTATGGATGTATCAGCAATTTTTCTGCGAAATCTAGCTTCTTATGGGAATAATAAGGCCTCCGAATTAAATACTACATTTATCATTCGACACGAAATACGTCATACCCAGCAAGCTTTTTCCAGTTGCATCACCAGTCAACCAGATATACTCGATATCGGTGAGTTGGGGTAGGCGTGTCACCGGAAGTGACGTGCACTTGATAGAAACTATGTGGATAAGCTGCTTCCAACATACATCGCTGGCTATCAGCAAAGCATGCTGGCAACAGCTTATCCACGCACTTCTATCAAGTGCACGTCACTTCCGGTGACACACCCACCCCAACTTTCGGATATCGACTGTACAGTCTTGCCTGTGCAGCAGAATACCGTTTAGGAACTGCCATCACAACTCCTACATAGTATTGTGGGAGAATTCCTTGATAAAGGCTCCATGATCGGGTGAGCATCACATAACAACTCGCCTCGAATCATCTCGGAGGAACACAGAGAACGAAGTGAATTCGCAAAGTAATTCGAAAGGATGGGGAGGTTTATTAAGGGAGCCTTTATTTTAGCTAAAACGACAACTTTCAGAGCTGCTTTTATACTTTCAAACGCACTGTACTATAGCAGGTGTAAATATCTACAGGAATTTCGCACACGTAAACCTACCGGAGTGGCTCCCTCCAAATTTGTTTCCTGAATTAATGTTTCGCAAGTGTTGAAATATGTTCAAGGTGCATTAATGTCGCTCAAAACCCTTCTTTTCAAAAATGGCAAATGCACCCTGTCACGATGATTATCGAAGGTATAAGTAATAGCAGCGTACTGCCCGAACTTGGTCTCCTTTGTGATTAGATACATGGCACATTCCATGTCTATTCAGCACAGGCTAAGGCAGCGATTACGATAAGAGGAGCGCATCGGGAAAGCATATGCACCACACGAATAGTTACTTGGCTGCCAAGGAAGCGAGATGTGGCGCTTTCACAACGAAAGGTGCGCTGGTTGCTGAGCAGGACTTCGAAAGCGCTCCGCCCCCAAAAGCGATCCGCCCACAAGCTTACTTGTAGATTGGACGAGCTGCGGCGTGAACGGAGTATTTTATTTTGTAGACGGAATATTATTTTGAGTAATCGCATGTGTCATCAAATGTCTTGCGGTGAACACGTTCCGTAATTCGACTTTCTGAGCTGTTACCTTCTCATGAGCGAAAACCAACGAAAAAGGGAGCCACGTCTTCGTATTCGTTTCGTGACCGATTTTCCTCCTTTTTTGGCGTACTATTGAGCACCACCACGTCACACTAAGCCTTCTTGAATTTATCGTGATCACTGCCTTTAATGCAACGAAAGTAAAAGCAGATGTGCACCGCCGGTAAAGATGAAATGTAAAAATGTCGGAAGCACTGAGAACAATGGTTTCTCTTTTCTGTCATGTGGAGAGCACTGCCCATACACAAGGGGTGAGGGATTGCCTCCTTCCATACCATGGGCACACCAGGCTCCGAACAAACTATCGTCATTACCTCATAAATCATGAAGCCGCATCCAGTCTCGCAATATCGCACTGTGGTCGCGCGTGATCGCTTGTTTTTCGGTGAACTCTGAAATAATTTCATTTGAATAGCTTACGCAATGATCGGCTCATTCATTTTAGCCCACTCGATCCAATATTCCGTTTGCAGTTTGGGATTCCCGTCTACATTTAGTAATGATCTATCGAGGCCTAGAGATAAATCAAGACACGGTCGCCTCTTCATCTTTATGGTGCAGGCACCACAAAACCCCTATATTTTAGGGGGTTCACATATATGCTAGCTGCGAGGATTCTAACACACACAGTGCATTGTGAGGATACCATAAATAACATTTGTGGTGGGTGCTTGAGTCAGTTATGCATGTATTGCATAATAGTTTCTACCATGAATTTGTTGAGGTGGGGTGCTTATTTTAAGCGATTTCTTGACCGTTCTAACGCTTCAAAGAGATAAAGTAATTTAATTACTACATGCTCATTTTCCCATCAAGTGTCCCTCATCCTTCAGCGTTTTTACCTGCTTATTCGGGATTTTCGTGTACTTATGACAACAGCTACATACATATTTTCCGCTAGAGGTGAGGATGGAGTTGGAGAGGATCATTCCATTCTGCTTCGCAGCCGTAACGGATCAAGAAAAGTTAAAGGTGGATTTTGCAATGAAGAGGTAGCTTATTGGAAATAAGGGTAGAGGTGGTCAGTGGAGCAGGGATGAAGAAGAAACCATTTGAAACGGCCCGAAACCCGAGAAATGGGACCCCTTCCTTGCCCGTTGATTTGCGCATTGATGCGACTCTCATCGCTGTGCCCTCTTCAACTACGCTCTCTCTGCTATCTAATCACTCGCCACGTATAGACCTGCGGCGAGTGATTAGATAGTCGGTGGGCGTTCCGGGCCAACTGCGCCAAGGGGAAGGCCATGCTAGATCGCCGGGCATCCGATGCGAATTGCGTGTTGGTCCGCACCTCGGGGGGGGGGGTCGCCTCTCTTTCCACTAGGTAAGTTTCTCCTTCTTCGAGTTTCGTCCTTATTGTAACCCTCCCTTGAAGGTATCTTCAGCGGCATAAATCACAAAAACTTTAAGAACAGGCAAATTCAAAGTAACTTATTGACGAGAACTGGTGAAACGCACTAAATCATCGATATCCATAGTACTTTTTTTGCACATTTCCAGTGGTCCAGCCGCTATGTAGCCTCTCCCCCCACCCTGTCCTCTCTCTCTTGGGCCTAGGCATGAATATGCGGTTCTTGGCCCAGGATCGCCTCTCCGCGTATTCCAAGCTGGTTCAGCCGGTCCTTATCAAAAAGCTTCTTTTGAGGGAAGTGTTATCAAAGCCCCTTCCCTTAGCGTTATCGACGCCCTTTATCTTGGTCCTTACCGTCAAAGCCGCAGACCAAAATGGAGCCCCTCCATTTTGGTCTGCGGCTTGGTCCATTTCTAGCCCTTTTCAGAACCTAACTCGCTCTAATTTCACAGCTCTGGTGTACTAGCACTTACGATTAGTACCTGCAGTATCGCATGATATTATTCCACTGAGCAGTCATTCCTTCCTCATTGCTTGCCAATGAGCGAACGTGTTGCTCCACAATGAGCAAACGTTTGCCGATTGCAGAGCATGACGGGAACCTGATTGGGACGCTGAGTTTTGTTACTAACCTTGCCATGTTTCCCGGTTTTGAAGATAACGCAATTGTTTAGCACGTCCATCACTTCACATCTAATTCGAGCGTTACACGCAATGTAGATGGGAAGACGGCAAGCACTGAAAAAAGGAAATTAAGGGACAGAATTTGTACATACGATCACGAGATACTCAGGCATATTCTGTTATATATGTGGTTTGAAGCACTGTTTTCCTCCCAGGCCACTCATCTGGAGGTCAGGCGTCATTTTTTAGTTCCTTTGATTTTTTTCTGCTCCTGACCTAGAAGCACCAGCTAGAGATACCATCGACCAAAATCCCGAGGTTACGTTTCTTTTTTTCCTTCTGCATTAAAAATGGCAAGGCCCTGGTCTGCCACTAACCTGTTATAGATTTCCACTCACAGTTCAAAGGTGGCTTCAGCTGAAGGAAAAACGCCGCCGCCCACTATGCTAGTACTGTAAGTAGCGACACCAGGTCAGAACAGAGTGTGTAGAATGGTCGCAACTCTTCAGACATAAGTGAAGGCTGAAATGAAGAGCTTTCAGTGACAATGAAATCTTATATGTGGGACTGTAAGTTGTGGCTTGAAACCTTATCGATCAACTCCCAGGTGTAGACAATCACATTGAGCATATTGGAAGCGAGGTAGGTGCACGTTACAAACACCAACATCAGAGTCGCAGAAACGAGATGTTCTCTGAAAGTGTAGGATGTTCGCCGAAGAGTTTAGAAGACAGTAATACGAAATGTACGAGCTATGCCTTTCCTATCTCCTCGCCACCCGTTGTCGGTTAAGGTATGCGGCATTGATGCGCTTACCTGGCGCGCGGGATTCCACCCAGTCCGCGCCTGACTAAAACGTGCTGCTTTCTAGGTATGGACTGCTCCTATTCGAAACGTTATTGGTGCTGCCTGTAAAGGATCACACGCGCACTGTAAAGCAGAGGTTCTTTTTGCCGAGCAGTCCTCAGAAGTAACAAAAAATCGAAAAAATTCTCTCGAAGTGGGTGGATCTACAGCAAAAGCCGGTAAGGGTGACTACGGAATTTCTAGCTCAGAGCACCGTTCATGAATACAGCACCTACCTATTAGCGCTACTGCTATGGATAAAATTTGAAAGCTTTAGTCTAGAATGCAGAGACTTTGTCACCACGGAAAAACGAACCTTGGACCATCCCTTACCCGCCTTGCGCCTTCATGAAACCGCTTACGCATAAATGTGGACCTCGATTTGTACACACGAGTTTCTGTGAGATGCAAGAAACCGTTTTCAGAAAGTGCTCCACACTCCGACGACTTCCCTTGCGAAGCCTCCACCTATTAACCGGTTGCTATCGTCTAAGGACAGGAACTGACTAGAGCAGAACCTCGTCGCAAGTTATACACCTCCACCTCACAATTGTATGTCCTGTGCTTCTACACGGAGGGTGAATAAGCGGTCCTAATGGGCGCATTCAACCAAGTTTTATACAGTACAAAGGACAAAAACTGCACAATGGTAATCAATCTTTCAAGCTTTCGTCAGGTATTTGACCCGCCTTTTTGAGCTTGTTAAATGTTCTTCTGAAAGTTTTTTTTTTCTGCATATACGATCTCTCCTTTGCAACGACGTCGATGTCTAACACACTAACGGCAGCACACTTTTCGACTTGTTCTGAGCCGTGTGAGACGGCTTGATTTTGAACGCGGCAACAAATAACTCTGCGCTGCCTATAAAGGTTGGGCTATACCTTTTTACAGGGCGCCGTCCGTCAAATTCATCAGGATTGAAAAAGTTTCCATTTTGAAACTTGTTCTACGCCGTAATGCTGCTGTGTTTTACGCCGCAGTTCGCGTTGCGAAAGTTATCACAAATGCTGAGTTGTGGGCAAAACTTTCGCCCCAGCCGGGATTCGTACCCGGATCTCTTGCTTTCCGGGCAATTGTGCTACCAGTTACACCACCGGGGCACCATTTCACCCCAACTCAGCTTCGATGGTGAAAATTACCATAGCTAATCAGCATTCGACATGTTTAAAAATGCGAAAGATTTGCTATGCCCTGCCAGGTTTTTCCCGTTGGCTCTGCAAACCACATCTTTATAGTTCCCAAAAAAGCCCACACGCCCCCAAGGGTAAGTAGATTTGACAATGGAAGTAACATTTTTGGACGAACGCGGTTGCAGGATCCCATCAGACACCTGATAAAACTATATCTCGTGCAGCGATTCTTGAGCACTGCCGTTGAATTTAGCCGAGCTACTTTCAAATCAGTCCTCAACATCACGAAACATGATTTTTTCCTATCCCTGGAAAAGGCAGTGTAGAGTCTTGAAGGACGCGCTCTTGAAGATCTGGTCATTTTTCCGTGTGTTCCCTCAAATTGTTTCAGATGATAGAAAAAAGATTAGGAGCCTCATCCTAATTTGATATTGGCGGCCTTCCGCTGAGTAGTCGAGAAAGCATGCAATCAGATTTGCCTTCAAGGCGGCGGATAAACGCAATTGAGCGAGCGATGTGTGAAACCAATCATTTGCCATAGAACCCATCAAAGTGTCCCGAAAGATTGTAGACCTCTAAGGTCGTTTTGATCAGCGTTAAGCACCATATTTATCCGTTGATTACGGAAATGGTGCAGCGAAAAGTGGAGCTGCTTACTATGTACATAGTCCTAACCAGGAAGGTCTTTCAGGGCGTGACAAGCTTTTTGAAAACGGTCTTTTGCATGATATAGGGGCACATGCGGGAACCACAGAACCATGGTTAATTTTTCCTGAACGGCCCTCTGAATACCAAAAAGGGGTCCCTGGTTCGATTCCTCGTGGTGACAAACTTTTGCATTTCGAGTTGACGTGGTTACTGACGGTCCTAATTATGAATATGGCATTCATTGTTCATGCTAACTCCATTTTGCGCGAATTTTGAAACGTCAACTCGAAATGCAAAAATTTGTCACCACGAGGAATCGAACTAGGGACCCCTTTTCTGGTATTCAGAGGGCCGTTCAGGAAAAATTAACCATGGTTCTGTGGTTCCCGCATGTGCCCCTATATCATGCAAAAGACCGTTTTCAAAAAGCTTGGCACGCCCTGAAAGACCTTCCTGGTAAGATCAAATTCAGGATCGCATGCCGTTTAGGCTAACTAAACCAACCCTCTGGGGTCGGGTAATGGGCCAATATAATAACATACAACAGAGCATTACAATCATATCTCTCATTTTGTACTCGAAAAAAGCGATTAGGGCGCACGCCTTCCACAGACATTGTATTTTCAAAATCCCTTATCTATAAGCACTGAATATGGGAATTATCAGTAATTATGTCATAGGAGGGCCGCATCGCATTGCACTCACGATTTGTCTGATATCCACAGAATTTCTCCTCCAACTCAACTCAAGAAGCTCAAGAGAAATTCAGGTAGTCCGTCCAAGAAAATGCTTGCTTGGACCCAGACGGTCAGTACGAGCAGTCCAGAATTCCGTCTGGTACAGCCTATCTAGTCCAACGCAATAACTCAAGTATACTGCTGTCTGGATGGAGTAGTTTTTCAGTTTTAATTTCTTATTCACAGAGGAAGTCACCTCGTCCATTACGCATATCACCAACTTTTCGTCGCACAGGGTGCCACGGTTGTACGGCAAAAAATCGTTAGATGCTCCCTTTCCCCTATAAGCAGAAGCAGGTCCTTCTTTACTGCCTTCGCCGTCTTCACCCTCCCCTTCTTCAGAATATGACGTCATCTACCATCACCGTCGAGCTCAAGGAGGCCTTTAGGATCGCTCCGTTCTGAAGCTGCTTCATAAATTTTTCAACCGGTTACCTGATGAATAACTTCCTAGAGACAGTAACTCTAACTATGAAACACCCTTCCAACCAGCTTTTCATATGTGCTCCTAATGGGTCATGAACCTTCGAGGATCTCGTTGGGTTCAAGCCGAACACCATGTTCCCGCGGGAAATCTTCTGATTTCGTCGATGCCGAAGGCTTTTGACGTTTTTTGATAGAATAAAACGCATCCTTCAATTTCAGTTGGGATCATTCGGTTTGAATCAACCAAAGTGAAATAATGGTTTCTGAATATGGAGAGCAGTGAATTTTTTAGGCACTCCTCGTAAGTTATTTCCCATCCCCGACGCACAATGATGGTAAGATTCATTCTTCTAACTCCACATGGTCAAAAACCGGTTCGTTATTTCTCGAGTGCGATGCGTCCTACATTTTCTCTATCTCTCATGTTCACGTAGAAATCTGGAGTATCCGTGCGTCAAGAGAACAGTTAAGCGCCGAATGACAGAGAAAATCATAATCAAAGCCATGTTAGATGGCCAAAGTTTCTTAGTGAAATCCCTTGTAAGTTTGTTCATTGTGTGCAAAGAATTCTTAAGTAAGCCCGGCACTGTTTCGTGCAAATACGAGCCCGTAATGCTGTTTGCCCGAAAGTCGCAACATCTAGTGCGCTTCGTTTGCGAGGAGACCAGGAAGAGCTATCAAACGACAGTGAATCATAGTAATCTATGGCACGCCATTCTTTCCCAAGTGACCCCGATGTTGACCAGCAACCTAATGACTAAGGGAATTAGTGGAGAATTGAGCTGCAAGTGAAAACGTACTTCAATCTCTGATCTGTGGGATGCAGCTTTGTTTCACCCGTCTGCCTGAAGATGAAAAAGAGGGTATGATGAAGAAAAATAGTAGCATAAAGCAATGCATCAAGTATATAATATAGTAGTACTTAACAATACCATAAAAATAGCAACTCGTCCTGGGATGCAGTGAATCTTTCAGCACTCCCCGTCGTATAATTTTCTCGTCGCCCAGAGATGAAAGGTAAGACCAGTCTTTTATCGTCACAATGAGTCCACAAGGGTTTCTCGCTTATTGTCTCGGTGGCGTGTGTTTCGTGGCAAAAGAGAGCACCCTATACTGGTTTCGAAAGTCACATCTAGTGCCTTTCGTTGGGGAGGAAGGCAGGAAGAGCTATCAAACGACAGATGAATCTATGGCACGCCATTCTTCCCAAGTGACGACGATTTGGCAGGCAAGCAATGACCAGGGATTAAGTGAGAATGCAGCTGGAATGAAAAGCGTCTTCATTTGCTGGATTCTTGGTGGAAGCACTTTGTTCACCTTTCCGCCTGAAGGAGTGAAAAAGAGGTGATGAGAAGAAAACATATACGGATACAAGCAATGCCATCTACGTACAATAATAGTCGTAGTAATTACAGTAGCCCCCATAAAAAGGGCAACTCTCGGGCGCGAGAGCGGACCATCCGCACACATGCTCCGATCAAGAACTCTCGACGGATGCTCAATCCGGCGTCGAAATTTTGGCTTGATCGTGGATGGTTTGACTGACGACTGGACTCATGTTCTACTTGATTCATATTGTGTCGCCCAATGCTCAACTGAGACCTCCGGCGTTTCCTGGATTTTTATTGCGTATTCGCCGGCGGATCGCCGGACTCTCGACAGCAAGCCTTAAGTCGCTATAACTCTAACTTGAATATGTCCCACGCGTCTTTGAACTTTCGTTCAGAACTTGGCTGGAATAAAGCGATGTGCAAGTCAATGAAATCATCCTTACAGAGAACTTGGCTTAAAGTTATCGATCGAATGATTGATTTTACTCGATCAAGGTCAACCGTCAGTTGGGTTCAAAATGGATCTAAGCTTCCATAGTGAACACTTGGATAGATTGACTTGTTAAAAGCTTTGAAGGAAAGTGGGAAAAAATGTTTGCCCCTACAGCGACTTCCTGGGAAAGGTTCAGTATTTGTGATTAAGCAAAAAGCAAGTACTTTGTCATGGCTATCATTATTTCCCATGAAATTGAGTTTGAAGAGAGCTGCGATTGTTTGACGTGGTTGAAATTGTGTATTCAGCGAAGTAAGCTCTGAATAATTTCTCATGAAACACACGGCCAACGAGGCACTTTTTGAAGGTCTAACCTTCTAGTTTCTTCCAGGGGACAAGAATTGCAAAAAGTTCAATCTGAAGAAAGCATTAACAGTTCAAAGCCAAAAAAACCAGTGCTCTGTCAAATATCAGTCCGTGAATTCCTCAAAATGTTCTAACGAGCGATTTTTGACTCCATCAATACTGAAAAGAGTTCAAGTATTCGTTAAAGACTCTAACCGGCTAGTTTATTCAGGGGGAGAAGAGTTGCAAGAGGTTGAGACTAGCAAAATTGATAGTTACTAAAGCCAAAAAACCCGGTTGTGCGCAAAAAACGTTCCAATGGGGCGATTTTTAGAATAAATGGGTCTGTGAAAGGTGAGATAAAACAATCTATTGTTTAAGAATTTTCCTACCATTTCCCACACTTTCTATTTGCAGAGAATTGCAACCTTTCAAATTAAAAGTGAGCATTCGTGTGAGATTCTTATTTCTCTCGAGCCCATCATTGAAGGGTTCTGGAAGTAATGCATAAACGTGGAGGTTTTCTGAAACTAGCGGTCTCTTAGATTACAAATCTATTTAGCGTTTTGAAAAATATTGATCTAGTACAGAAGTCACGTCATCTCTGCAACGCCTCGACACTCTCGCTCGCCCCCCTCGGTCTAAACCCGCGCTATGGGGGGGAGCCGAGAGGAAGATCGTGCGCGCCAATGCAAGCGCGACGTTACCGCTTTCAATCAGGTATAGTGGTAAGAAGTAGTCACAAAACACACAAGCACACACATATGTAAAGAGTACAGTACATAATAAAATGTGGGGCGGGACTTTTGCTAAATGAGGGGGTCGTAAAATTTCCGAAATCGGTCCAACGTGACGGTTGACCCCGACTCGATCCCAGAATCATGCACATGGCAGTAGCTCGCCTTGGTAGCCCACCTTTGTGTGGAAAAATCGAAAGAGCTACATACATTCCCTGCCCTTCAAAAAGCGAGAAAGTGTGTGGATGCAGATAGGAATGCACACAAGTGACAATGGTTTTCACAACATGTTCATCGTTCATAATGTTCATGGTTTGCCAATGAAATGATTAGCCTGTTGCAGTGTATTCACTAATTACAACTATCATTTACCAAAATCAGCTATCACTATGAACTTCTACTTCTAACAGATTTACTTGGAGGCCGTCGTCAGTTGTGGTGTTCGGTCTGCACCCGACACTTTCTTGCTTTTTGAAAAGGGGGTATGTCCCTTTGAAATAAGCAAAGCCGGCCCTCATAAAGCCGAACGCAATCCCTGTGTCTTTGACAAGCTCTTTCGTTAACGTGAAAAAAAAAGTATTTGACCTCACTCGAGACGTGAACAAATACGTCGAGCAACACGTAAACAATCGAACGCAAGATTCGGGGTTAAGTTTCACTTTATTGTTTAGTTTCGATCTCACCTCACACCACCCGCCTCACCCGATGTTCCGACGTGGCGAAGCGGAAGAGTTTAGCACCATGATGTTGAGCACGAAGGAGACGAATGATGCCGATGTTGAGGTAGAAGCACAGAACGAACGGCAGAATTATCGTGATGATGCTCCGAAACCAGTACTGAATGTGAAACTCTCATGTGATAACCCAAAATGGAAACAACGGATAAGTGGTTAGGAATGGTCAGGATGTTAAAGGATAAAAGGATAAAGCATTTGCCGTTGATCAATCCCTTTTTGGGATGCGGCACGCATTCTACTTCCATTTGTACATTCGTAGTGGCGTTTGAATGCGATGTGGCCTATACAATGACTTGCGGGGGCCAGCCGATGTACAAGTCAGTGTTTTTATCCTCCCAGACAAGTCTGGTACCAATTAACCGACCCCGGAGGGATGGTTGGCCCGGGCGACACGACCCAGGATTTGATCCCGGACCGCTCGCGTGGTAAGCGTGCCACTTGCCACTACACCACTTCCGCCCCTTCCATTTAAATCGTGATTGACTTCATGGAATGCTGATTTTCTGTCCTGGGTATTAATACTGCCTACTCGTTGGGCAAAAAGTGTTGAGAAAGGTGGAGAGTATCTATCAGTAGTACTAACATTCCCCGTTGCTTTGAAAAGGATACAAGGCATTCTTCTGATAGCTTCATAAAAACGGACACTATCGCAAGATAGGGGGCATTGTGGAGGCAGTGCATTTGAAACCGCGCAAACATCTACTTTTTTAAATTGGATTATTTCTCAGGCGGGAAAGAAGACTGTTGAGTGTGCGCGAGCAGTTTCATTTTACCCGGTGTTCCTGCTCCTTCTAGCCTTAGTACTGTAGGATGCCTCAGTATCATTCGATAGCGCCTAAAAACTCTGGCTGTACCATGTGAGAAACTAACTTACTTTGTAGGCACTCTTGTAAGGTTCCGTCTCGCTGAATTCACTCACAATTATCGTCAAAGATGTGAGACCTGTACAGTTCCCATTCGGGACAACCTGAAATCATGCACGATTTTACCTGAAAAAGCTTGCCATTGAGATTGACGCCTACTGATGCATTAGGGTCAGCATGAAATCAGCATGCGCTGTGCTTGTTCGAGTTTATAAGCGAAAATTACATACTCACCTCCACTTCGAAGTACATCGGCAGCTTGGCGATCATGGCAAAAACAAGCGCCATAAAACAAATGGCGAGTCGATGATGACGAGCAAACTGATTGCGGATTTTTGAAATGGTGATGTACCTTGAAAAAA